CTCAAACCTTTCCAAGGGGGGACCGCCCCACAAAAAAGGCTCCTGAAATTGCAGGGTCAAACCAAATCTATTTTTGCGGATCTTGGATGGTCAGCCAGGGCTTGGGACGTACCATACACGATGTACCCATCCAGCTAGAGGGACAGCACAAAAGAGCCACCACAACGGCTGTGGTGGCCCTTTTTTTCTGGTGAGCAAATTCCAACCTTTCACCATGACCGATATTGGGGGATGGAAAATATGAAAAGGGGAGGGGTGTGATGTTTGAAAGACCGATCGAGATATACCCAGCCTGCAGCATCGGTAGCTTGCGCGCCATAGCCGTCTCGTTGTACGAGTCCAACCTCTCCACGTCAGCGTGGGCCAAGTAGAACGACCCCACCAGCCTCATGGCCACCAAGTTTTCGGCAACCGGGCAAAGTCAGAAAATGACAGAAATATACATGATATAATTTGGGTCTGGTAACAAAATGCCAATGGTGGATGCTTTGCTTCCCGGCTTTGGGCACACATAGTCTGGCACCCTTTGCGTCCATGACCTGGGTGTTGGAATTCTAACTCCAGAGCCAAACCCTGATATGCATGATTCCCAGCAATGTTCAAACTTAATCAAGGGGCTGGCAGGTAGACACGTCATCAGGGACATACAGATCAAGCCTTCTCTTTTTCAGGTCCAGCACCAGGTTGAGGTTTTTTTCACGCGTTTCTTCCGAAAGCCACTGGCGTTTTTTCTTTTCAGGCGCCTGCGCTTCTTGTGGTTCCTGAGCAGAGGCTAGGGGGGGAGTGCGGCCCGGAATCAGCTTTTATCCTGCTACTCGGTCCAAGCAATTTATCGAAAATGTGTGACATCTGTTCTTTGGGGGTGGGGGGTAACCAACAAATTGGAAAGGGTCATGGTCATAAAAACCGATCAGGCCTCTTTTTGAAACCTTGCGCAACGACAACACCCTGCCTGAGTACCACCCTGCTTCCTTTTTCTTCCTCCAGCTTTCGGTGTTGGCTTGGGGGGCTCACTGCTGCTGGCTGGCTGCGGCACTGTTTCGTTCGGCATGTTAACCGCTTCGGACTGCTCAGCTTCAGGGTTTTCGCTGTTGCTCGCAATGGGCTTGGACTTCCCCCGACCACCGCGGCCACCCCGGCCACCCCGGCTACCCCGGCCACCCCGGCCACCACCTCTGCTGCCCTTGCCACCTCTGCTCCCCCTACCGCGACCTCTCACCGGTTTGTTTTTTGCTTCTTGCTCTGCTTCAAGCTCACGCTCTGTTTTCATTTCTGAGTCCTCCCGCTCCAATGCCTTCTCAAAGGGCTCGCTCTCATCCCCGCGCTTCCTGATTGCAGCCCGCATAGTCTTTTGCGCCTGTCAGGTTTATAGGATAGAGATTATGAATGACCCCGCACACACGTCAACTGACGCTTGCTGATCCATGCAACAGCCGGCATTTCGAAGACATTGTTCAATGACATTTTTCGGTTCCACTTGGTTCAAAGAGAATTGCAACGGGCGCCTGAAGGATGTGTTCAAAACCTTCAAGGTCCTCCTCGTTGGTGTCCGCCGGGAGTTCTGGAACTTCAGCAATTAAAGGCTTGCGATCCTGGGGCAGGTGCGCACACACAACACATCACAGCACATGTGCATGCGTGCACATAAGCGTCATAATAGTGCACAACGCGCGCACGTGCACACAGCATTAGCGTGCAAGGCTCCTTGAAAGTTCCCTTTGTCGTTGATGGCTCATCTTGGTCGCTGTGATTTTGAGTCTCGTCATCATCAGGGCATCTGATTCCTGATGATGACGGTGTTGCCTCGGCCGGCTTTGGCCATTGAACTTTATACTTTTCCCACCCACTCCAGCGCGTAGGGGTTTCAAGGCTGGCTGGCAGATGAGTTGCATTGGGAACGGTCTCCAGTTCTGGGCCCACAGTTCTGTTTTTTCTCACCTCTTCAAGCTCTGCGTTCCACTCGTCGCCAAGGCTTAACGTAGTCCCTCGCAGAAGCTGAATCTCATTCTCAGTAAATTGGCTTGCTGGCTGGCTAGGCTCCGTTTCCTGCGTGGGCATGGGCGCGTGCGAATCAGCAGGGTCACGGGGTGGCAACAACTGCACAGGCTCGGGGTCTGCATGGGCAGGCAAACGCACTTCGTTCGGGGCCGCTTCGCTATGGCTGGGAGGCTCATCATGCGCGGTGGGCTGCATCGCAGGTTGTGTTGTTGCAGCAACTGGCTCGTGCGTGTCGAGGGCTGGGCTGCTGGCTTGCGGTGTCTGGGGCACAGGTTCAACCACCCCATCATCGGAAAAACATTCTTCCTCCTCCTCCTCTTCAATTATTACCTCCTCAATTTCCTCAATTTCTTCCGAAGCATTCTCCTCCTCACCTGCCACCGGGAAGCGCGTTAGCGTTTCAACATGCAATGCAATTTCATGGGCTCAAGCCACGATGAACACCGCACGCACGCTTGAAATAAATTTGCATGAATGTCGCCACATGCGCCGTACTACTACCAGCCTGCAATCACGATTGGCTTCCTGATGGACTTGCTCCTTCTCAGGATTCCATTCTCCTGCGCGCGTGCGTGCTTGCATGCAGCATGCAGTGCTCAGCGCCACATCGTACATAACCCATTGCATTTGATATAGCCATAGCGCACTCCTTAAAGACCTGAACCACCAACTGCTTGAGCTCCGCCATGCGCGAGTGACCACTCCTCCAGAATCACGCATGCATGCATGCAGGCTCTAGAGACAGCACAATGCTCATGGGCTCCTGGTGTTCAAGGTTCGCCCAACCCGCGTCACGATGTAGCTCGCCAGGGCACGGTGGAGGTTACCCTCCGTCGTTGCCCACTCCTGCGCGACTCGCTATCGACAGCATTCATGAACGCAAAGAATGTCTGAAGCGCAAACACATTTTCGAATTCAAGCTAGTACATTGATCGAACAGAAAAAAATGCAAAGCGGTCCACCAACATCGGGTCGTTCTTGCTGGTTGCGTTCACCAGGCGTTGATCAAGGCCGACCGCGATCAATGCAGCCTGCCCAGCACGCAAGCGAACGCGCTTTGCAGGGTAATACATAGCGCATTCAAACAACGATCCACAAAACTGACACGCCTTGCACTCATTTTCGGTCGGGACATCTGCAGCGAAAGATTTGAGCCATTTCTGGCTCCATTCAAAATTGCCCTCGTCCTCCACCTGCGCACGCACGCACGATGCTGAATGCGGAGATCGAAAGATCCGCAAAATCTCGCAGCTTATCAAGCATGCACGCACGCCGACTAGACTGCTTGCGCCTCTGCTTCTCCAATCTTGTCAGTCGCGATGTTGACAAAGGAAAATGAGCACGGTACCTAGGACATGATCTAACCGGAACCCAGACTCGCACACGTGCACACACAAGCCATGACCACACTGTTTCACATGGAAAAAAAAGGCTCATGACACAAATTGCAACGCATGCTTAATATGGGATTCGTTCAACTGAGATACCCGATTTTCCGAAAGCAGCCGTTTGATGCGGCTGTCTGCCAATCCAGCTTGCCGGCCTAGGGCATAGAATCTCTTCTCCCTGAAGCAGTCTTCGTTGAGCCTGTTCATGTAGAACTCCTGCCCGAATCCGAACCGAGCTGTTTGAACATGAAGCCAAGCAAGAGGGTCCCCTTCCTCAGGTAGGTTGCCCTTTGGTCTTGAAAACCATCGCGTTGGGTTCACGTTTTCAGGCTTAACCCATCCTGTGCCACGATCAAAACTCGATCCTTCTTATTTTCACTTCGGGGGTCAGTTGCATGCAAAAACATGTAACGTGTATAGCGTGTGCATGCACGAATGTCAGACGTACGTACCATGGATCGAATTGAGTCGTGCCTGGAGCAACTCGATGCGGCGCAGGCATGGCTTCACTCGCGGCATTGCGGAAAAAGGGCCGTGCCGGCCGGCCGATGTGTCGACGATGTCGATCTAGATACTGCAGAGTATTGCAGAGTTGAAATATGTCATGTCTATCTCGATCTGACCTAGCTCGATCGATCGATCTTATTAGATCTTGAGTCTCCGTGATTATCCACATGCATGCATCGAATTCTTAAATGGCCCGGGTGAGCCATCGTTGATGCATCAAGCATGCATGATGTGTGTGACAAAATCAAATCATGGCCGCGTGCATGCATGCACGTATGTACTAGCTCATGTGTCGATGCAGCAACGGGTGTGACTTTTTTAGGGATCTCACAATTCTGAATTAGTCCCCCCCAAAACAAAACCGATCGACATAGGGCAAGGCGGTGGCACCTTCGCAGAACTTGAACGGCTGGTCCGCATCCAAAACGCCTCGGGCCGGTGCATGCGTGCAGCAGGGACCGTAAAGTAAAACATAGGGAAACCCGTACACGATTTACTTTTGCCACTCCTTGCACGCACAACTCCCCAAGTGCCCGGCGTTTCCGCAATGCCTTCTTCATTGACAATGATGCAGCCTTACCAGCAGTGACGCATGCCAACTTCTTGCTAGCTTGCATGCAGGACATATGCATGCATGCGTGCAAATGCTCAGACGCTGGCGCATATCGATCTGCATCATGTAGGCCAGCACCATGTCGACACATGGCGTATGACGAATCGATCGAATGAACCACCCAGACAAGTTCTTGCATGGCATGCATGCCTGCATGCATGTGCATGCTACATGATGATGTCATATGCGTGCATGCAACTCGGCCGATCATAGTACATGAAACTCTGAGCCCAACTCAAACAAAAAGAGGCTCCAACGCACGATTTCCCCGTTCACGCCCATTTCACGGGTAAACATGGTCTTTTGAGGGAAACACCGACTTTCCGGAAAGACATAGTTTACTAACGTCTTAGAAGTACTGGGTATACATACATACGTATATATATATATATACATATCATACATACACATGTTTGTCCGGGAATGTGCATTGATTCATCAAACAACACAACCACGTTAAACTTGGACCGCCATGTTCGACATGTTTTCCCTGCCTGATTGAATCGTCCCCCGATGCTCAGGCGCTCCAAGGTACTCGGCAGACACACGTGCTCCAGCACATCCACTGCAGTCATCTCGTAGCCTCCAAAATTGGTTTCCCCCAATTTAAGTCCCAAAAACAGCTACTTAATCCAATCCTAGGATAAGCTTGTCTCATGTTCCCTCGCAAACTTTGCTCCTGTTCTGCCTCAAGAGAAGACGAAACAGGTTGACATCTCCCAGCACATCCTTGGTCTTTGGCTCAATTGGGTCATGGTCTCATTTTCTGAATCCATCGACTCCTGTTGCGCATCAGGTCCGGCTCACAGCTCAGATAACCGGGCATGAAACCGGTTCTTTCAAAATAAATCTTCAACCATTTCACAAATAGAGTGTGCAACCGGGAATCACCGCACGCATCCTGATATTCAGCAGGCGTCAACCATAAACACGGGCCTGACTTGAGCCATAATCAAAACCGATCGGTATAGTCATGGTCTGCCCAGAACTGGCTGTGGCTCAAAATTAAGCAGGAGGGGCAAACCGCAGGTTTTGGTCCATGTGTCCACTTACCAGGGCAACCCATTTTGGAATTTTCCGTTTATTGAGCCACAGCCAACTATGGAAAAATCATCGGGAGGCGGCGAAGGCGCCCCACTAAGTGGTTGGAACGGACTATCCCTTGCTAACCCTCAGTTGTTCAGTGACCCTGGAAAAAAAAAAGCGAACCCTTTCTTGGGAAGACCATTTTAGTGGGGCAGCCACCAAAAAAAGGAAAAAGGGAGCCACGGTGAAAACAAATTGAGATCACCGATATATATATATATATATATACATCAGCAGCGCCCAACAGGCCCCTCTCAGTAAAGCAAGCAACTCCTTCTCCACTGTGTGCTTTTGGTACATGGTTATGGTTGCTTATATAATTCTAACAAGGACTGCAGTATTGCAATAGGACTATATTATGTACGCGTATATAAATATGTATATATATATATATAATACACTACAGTTGTTTGCATTATATATGATATGCGTACATATAGATGCATGCTGTATGCTTTGGGTAGGGTTGGGGGGTCACTTGCGACCATGGTGGAAGCGGGGGTTGGGGTGGGCTCGCGTTCGGCCCAGCTGGGAGCCCCGGACGCGCCCAAATTTTACGGTAACCGACCCCCCAACCCCAGGATAATGTTGACCCATGTTAAGCAACCATTGTTTATTAATAGGGGGGGGTCCCCGACTTTAGTGGGGAATCCTCACTTTTGGAGGGGCCCCACCTTTCTTGTGATTAAACTGGGGTTGATTGATATGGGGTCAACAAGCTTAGGAATATTTGTTTGCTTTCCCTTGTTGGTTTTAAAGGGAATCTATCACTGGACATATTTTCTCATTTTGTCCATTGGCGATAAAGCAAATGGATGCAACTGGTTGTCAATCCGGGGTCAACGCTAGAAGCCAGCGCTGTTTTTGGCTGCTGCCAGAGCGCGGATCTCGGTGACTCCCTCCAGGGATCGGCTGGGATCCTTGCACTCCACGCCCCGCAGAGTTTTCCACGCCTCCCACCTCAGCGAGAGGTGAAGCTCATTGTTCTTTCAATCAACTTTTCGTGGGTGAAACAAAACCACCCCCATGTGTTGCCGCTTCGTGAAAAGCAGCTCAAGAAAGGAACATGCAAATATGTTCTCTGGGATTTGAGAAGGAAGTGGCTCGTGGTTCTGTCTCTCTTCAATGAGAAATGGCTGCTCATTCGGTGTGAAGCCAGAGTCCCAAAGATTCATTCAACACCATGGGAAAACACCCAAATGGCACATGCGGCATGGTACAGAGTAAAGCCTCCGTCCCGCTGGTTTGGGTTGGGACCCTTGTATACGTCCGGGGGCTTTGAGTTTACCTCTTGGGAGACATAAGCCTCAGAAGTTCGGACTCGGAACGACCAAATCCGCCAGCCGACCAAGCGCAAGCCAGCCATACGCTTGTCGGTTCACCAATCCAACCCAAAGACAAACCGGGACAATCCAAACGGCAAACAGCCGCCAAGCTGGTCAAAAAGAGGAGCCCATTTAACCCTGCAACTGGGGGCCAGGATGAGGTGCAAGGCTGAAAAGTCTGCTCGCATTTGGACCAAAGGTAGCAAACAGGCTGCACGGGAGAATCCGGAATACTTGCCGGTTCTCAGCAGAGAATGAGGGAATGACCCTACAAATCATCGCCTATGATTTCTTTTAAGGCAATATCCAACATAGGTTCATTCCGATGGGTGCTTCCCTGCCTATCGCACCAGCAAGAACTGCAATACCCCCCGGGCGTACTTGCAGGGAACGCACAGCAGAACTCGGGATCTGCCTGGCGTGGGGGAACTCTCTGGCCAGGACTCAACCGTCCGAATGAACGCCTCGCAGCTCAATAGATGTTCCCCCCGATTGAACAATCCCCTCTAAACTCAGGCGTGCTCTTCCCTATGAACCAGGACTCTTGTTGGGGGGTTGGGGGGGGGGCAGCCGACCCTTTTGAACCCAATCCCAAAGGATCCCAGCTAGCCGTCTCGAATGCTTGGGATGGAAGCTCCCTGGGTGCATCACTCGGTTTGAAGCCTGCCATCGGTCCATGTAAGAAAACTTCTTCAAACCAACGTGGCGGGCTTTCTTTGAAGGAGAGCAATGCCACTGGATTGAGACATGGCTGTGTCTGTGTGTATTTTTTCGGTCGGGCGGGGGGGAGGCTGCCTGCACATGTGAAAGGTCCCCAAATGGATCCCGGATTTGGCTGAACGTTTCGATCCTGGGCTGCCAGGCGCATTGCAGGGCACCTGCAGGAAGGAGATATGCCGCCTCACGACAAGAAGGCAACTGGACCAACAGGCTGATAAAACCTGCAGACGTTTTTCATATGGCCATGGGTCAAAATCAAAATCGTACCCCCAGTGAACATCCCAATCCCCACTAAAATAGACTAAAATGGGTGGTGCACCTGCCCCAAAATGGGATCCTATTGGTTTTGACTCACAGCCATATCTAGTCTGCCCTATGAGTTTTGGAGACAGGCGAGGAGGGTACATCCTTTGGGCCAAACGAGTTGGCATCTATTTGACGGCATATCTCAAGGAAGCTTTGCCGAGGCGAAACGGCAAAGCGAAAGGCAGGGAGTAGCTCGGCATTTTTGAAGTGACGCTTCCGCGGAAGTTGCTTTCATATGGGATGAACGAGCTCCATGAAGACCATTCTTTTCGTGGTGGATCCCAAAGCAGTTTCAGTAGTTGGTCTATTCCGACAACCTCAGGATTTGTGTGGCCTCGCAAGGTTCCCCACATCACCCCAATGAGCCCACACCCCACCCAAACAAACGAGCCCAGCAGTAAAGGTTCACCCAGAGACAAATCCGGCTTCGTCTCACCTCGAAACCCAAAGCTCCTGCAATTGCTTGGCTTCCCGGAAAAAAAATGGTTGGCTTCCCGGGAATTTGAAAAACAACCCAAAAGCACATGGCTGCCATTGCCGTGCCTCTTCCCCAGCTGCTGGTGCACGTCACTGTCCAGGTCTAATTCCTCGTGGGTCGCCGGACATGCGTCGCCATCCCAAAATGAGTCGCAAATGGGGAAGGGGTTTTCCTTGTAGTTTCCCTTGAAAACTACCCAACAAGTGGTACCGGTGTCCTTTTGTTTGGATCCCAAAACGCCGGGTTTTCCGTTTTCCTTTTAGCTTCGCGGAGAAAAAACAAAAACAACAAACTACCGAAGAAGTGGTGCCCTCAAAAACAGACACCCAAATTAAATGAGGATGCTTTCGGATGCGCTTTGCACGCCAGATTGCCTGAAGGGAAGGTGCTGTTGCGATCGGAACCCCTTTCATTTGTGCGGGGTCAACCCTAAATTAAAATGTTGTGCAACCCCCCTTTGTCTTGAAATGGGTGCTGTGCCCTTGTCTTTGTGAATCACCACGGTCTAAGTGAAGAATGTGTCGGTTTTGGGTTGATGCGCAGAACAGCCAGCTCGCACTTGATTGTTCACACCTCCTTTTGATTTTCCAAGGTCTGTTGCTAAATCACGGTCGGATTCAGCACTGTTGTTGGTTCCGCCAAGAGGACATGAAACCGGTGGTTTCAACCGATGCTGCAAAATCTGGTAGAACTCCAAAGCATACAATGAGGCTGGTGCCCTGTGGTTCCTTGGCGTTCCACTGCTCTTGTTTGGGTTACCTTCTGTTTAACGTTCTGTACTTGCAAAGGAGCAATCATAGGCGACTTTTTGCACAAATACTTGGATGGGTTTCTCTGGCACATGGCTTTTCACACCCATCTAAACCAGATCCATTTCTAACCAAGCTTTTTGAGGAAAAGGGCACCCACCAAAGTCCCGAATTTCCGCCACCCAATTCTCCTCATCCCCGAGCAGCCGAAGCAGGCAACCCCGCTTCCCCACCAGGGGCCGCAAATGTTGCAGCAGCTCCCGGCCAGTGCAGCGCTCCTGGTCGCCGAGTCTCAGATCTCAGCCGCAAAAAAAAAGAAAAACACCCAACACCTACCCCCCAACAACTGATTTTGACCATGTCCCACATCCCAACGGTAGCCCAAAAAGCAGTTGTTGGGGGTGCTGGTACTAAACGATTGTTGAAGACATCTTATCAGAAAACGCAAGTTGCCCCGCATCTGCGGTAAACTATAACATGTTCTGATTCTGCTTCACATGCGTTCAGCCTCTAACTATGGAATAACTTTGGACGAGACCCAGATGCCACCTAAAAAGACCCTGACTGTCGATGGGAGTTCTATGCTACGGAGTGTGTTTGCCCCAAGGGGATCCCTCCGGAATCCTCCTGAAACGGCTGAGCCCTTGGGTGGTCTTGGCCATACATCTGACAAGCAGCTGCTAAAGGGAACAACTCAAACCCTGTCATGGGTCTTCTGTGTTCAGACCACTTTTCGGGATCTCTGCTCAAAAATGCACAAACCGCTTGCAACTGGCTTGGTAAAAATGTCTCCTGCACGGCCACGTCAACGACCTGTCCGTCCAGGCCCGACACCTGTAGATTAAAAGCAGCCATCAGCGGCCGAATTCACCGCTTTTTGGCTGGGAACTAAGGGCTTTGTCGCACCCGTGACGCACGATGCGTGATGCAAATGCTGAAATATCACATATGTGAAGTTGACACCTGCGAACATTGTAGCTAACTGATGAGGAGTCGTGGTGATTTCATGCACATGCAGAACATGGTATTTGCTTTTGTCTTGATCTCCATTCGAAACTGGGCAAACTGCCCGCGGGCGACTGCCATCTGCCATGCAGTTTCCGCAGTGCCAGCTGGGGTTTGAGCCAAAGGCGTGGTTTCACGTCTGAATCGGGAATGCGACCCCACGCCCCGCGCCACAACAGATGCAGCGCTGGCTGGTGTGTGTGTGTGTGTGTCCCAACATTGCACTTGGGAAAGCTAGTCATTCCTTGCAATGGCCGGGAACCCGCAATGCTTGATCTTTCCCTATACGTCTGAACACTGCACAAACAGCCCACATTAAACGAACGGAATACCAAATTTTAGATGCTGACAATCCTTAATGGTGGTTATGGTGGTCATGCGAACCGAACCCCCGTTGTTCTAGTGGTGGTTTGAACCCGAGGGATGAGGTATCTGATTGAATCGGCGTTGCTCAGAACCACAAATCCCGGGTTCGAGGGGTCGAGCCAAACGGGGACTCAGACCCTTGGACATCCTTCTTTGGGGTGGATTTCCAAGGGATGCCTCCGGGCAACATGCCGAGGGTCTGAGAGTAAGTTCTAAGACTGGAGTTCAAGCAAACCAATCCAGAGACCTTCGTTCAACTCGCTGGCCTTCTGCCTGCCGAAAGGGGAGGCTCACATGCAAGGAACACGACCAGCTGGTCAGGGTGCTGAGCCCAGCGTTTCTACACCTTGGAGTCCATGCTGGGTTCCCACGCGAAGTCAACAGGTCGTTCTCTGGTCACATCCAAATCAGGCGAAACCAAGCAAAAGGCCCCCTTCGTCTGGGGCCCTCCAGGCAAAATGGCCAAATATCCGCAACGAGGCTTCCTGCTTGGCCGTACCCTAGTCAGGCGAAATGTTATTATGACTTGCCCATGTTTGTTTGATGATCCTTAAATACTGTTGCCTCGATTATGTCACCCGCCAGTACCCCTCCCCCCCCCCAAACAACTGGTGTTGACCATGTCCAAACTTCCAAGTGCTTAACCAAACAGCAGGGGTTGGGGCTCAGGTGGCACACTCCCACAGTCGAACAGGGAAGTTTCCTCAATTGGCCTCTGTAAATGAAACCAAGTTCTCCATTTCGGGGTCCTGGAAGCTTTCATGTTCTGGCGAGGGTATGACTTAAAGCCAAGGGCCAAGTCAGCCTGAGGCCCTGGCTGGATGATGGTCCAGCAGCTGTTTGAAGAGCTGTTCCCGCTCCTTCTCCTCTAGAACCTCGCCGATCAATGTCACCGGACAAAAATCCAAACAAAAGTTGGATATCAACTTATAGGTGGTTTCAATTGAAAACAAGAAAGCCACTTTTGCCCAGTGGCGCCAACCAACTCTATGCACACGCGGCAGCTCACTTGCTTTTTCTCTGACGCAGATTCCACCGAGCGAATAAGCTGAACATTTCAGCGCCAAAACAAATTGGCGCTGAAGGCCCAAATAACGCATTAAATTGTCCGAAACTAAAAGGACTTCCAAGTTCCCTGTCGTTTCAGAGCATCGCTCTCCGTTTCAGAGCATCTCCAAAGAAACATCTACTACCTGACTGCGCGCCCGTTGCGCGCGCTCGCACGACTTCTCTCAGAGCGTCTGGCCCTGGCGCTTGATGCCCAGCACCTTGCAGGCGGCTAGCTCAAGAGTTGGGCCTATTCGAAGCCGTGTAGACTGGGTCAGAACCGAAAGAGGATCACTACCTTTCCCCCCAAGTGGCGTGCGTTTCCAAGGTGTAAGGATTTAAGAGTTCCTTGCCATGGGTCAATGATTAGAAGAATAACTGAAACTAGTCAGTGAAAGCATGACCTGACCTGCGCTAAGGGATCCTGGGTGACTTCGCTTCTTAAAACAAAAAGAAGAAGAACAAAAAACAATGTGCCATGCTCAGAATTCCTTCTCGTGGATATTTCTGGAAGGAGCCCTTACACACATCATGGTAGGAGTCCCTACTCAAGGGTTGACCATCCCTGCTAACCCCAAGCAAAGTCTGTTGACCATGGCAGCACTTCCAACAAACCTCTGGAGCGCAGGGAAAGAGAGGGATCACTGTGAATGTCTCTGGGAGGCTTCCCTGTGCACTTCAAGGACCCCCCCAAAAGGGCACAAAAAGCACAGCCGTAGGCCATAGGCGACTTAGTGGGGGGGCTTCAACAGCACTTGACCCCAAACATGATTGCTTGTTCGCTTGTGTTGGTTGTGATGTACACCGATCCAAACGGGTCCCACTGTGGGAAAACAGCCATAAATGAGTGGCTACCCGGAAATCCGCAGATGTTTACATACTGCTGGCTGGGGGTGGGGGAAAGGGGAGGAGGGTATTGAGCCACATAGGAAACTCAGTCAATCGATGCGCTCGACCTGAGGCTGGGCAGGTTGGGTTGGCATGTGCAATGCCATTCCAATAAAGTTTCCAAGCGTCGAGAAGGGGACCCTCCAAGCACCCCAACACCCCACCTCCCAAACACACCTTCTTGGAAAAGACTAAAGTGGACCATGTTTGGAGGTGTTCCTTTTTTTTGTGTGTGGGGGGGGGGGTGGGGTGGGGGGCGGTTGGCGGTGTGTTTTGGGGCTAGCAAAAGTTCTTTGACCATCTATCCCCCGGGGCAAATGTCTCCTTTGATTCGGTTACACAAGTTGCAACTCCTTTCTGGGGTTGAAGAAGCTAACCATCCCACCTCAATCTCAAAGAGGAGGTCAGCATGGGGCGGGATGCCCCAGGAAGGGAAGCCGCTCTCGCGATAGCCTGACGATTGGCCCACGTGAATCAGCTTGCCAGAACGGGGGGCGTTTGTCTGAACTTCTTCCTTTTGTTGCCCCAATGCTGGTCACAGCTGAATCACCTAGCCGGCAAGGGGGGGGTTGTTTGCACATTTTTCTTTGCCCAACCCCAGCTGAATCACCCAGGGCATTGTCGGCTAACGCTTCGCAGGGACCCCAGTGGATTTCCATGAGACAGGGCTCTCCTTTTTGGCGAACAACAGTGGGCTCCAGTGGACGGGTGCTCCACTTAAGGCTCCAGAAACCCCGCAAAGGTCCTGATTTCCTGAGGATTGACTTTGGCTCAAAAGTTTTCGATGGGTTGTGTAGGGGTTAGGGGTATGTTCCCATTTGATGCGAAGAGGACATGCGGTTTTCCAAGGTGGCTGAGATTTGAGGAAGGCAGCGTTTCCAAAACCAACAATGGAGGCAGTCCCATTCTCATCGCGTGGTGCGGATGCGGAGCATAACCAACTAGCTTTGTCAGGATTTCCCTGCGTGTAACTCCCACGCCAAGAACAATCAGAAGCATCAGAAACCAGCAACACAAACTTCCACGGGAAATTCATTGAACTCCCGCCATGAAATTCTGAGTGCAAAACTTCTGGAAGCTGGAAGCTCCATTCCAAAAGCCAATACGGCGTGATGACTTCTTCTCTAAGCCGAATCCCGGCCTTCAATGGAAGGGATCCGTAGGCCGCGCGTCTCGCCCTTTTTCATACCTCGGCGCCGGATTTTCGAAGAGGTTTCCCTCACTGGCCATGGGGGTGGGATTTTCCAGTTGCTTCCTGTAAAAAAAGAAAGAACACCTGAATGTGTCTCATAAAAAGGACGCCAAATGACGCCAGTTTTCTTTAATTACTACTCTCACGTCCAAGTTCCAATTGTGCTGGAGTCATGATGTTGGTTCTTGGGGGTCAAAAGCAGAAACTGGCTGGGTGTTTTCCTGCCTATAATTTAGGGGGTGACATGAGATCTCTTGGCCTGCGGCGTCAGGAATCCAAAATGCAACAAGGATGGGATCCAGTGTCTGTCCTCAAGGCCCTACCCTCTAATCAACTGGGTTTCTGTTGTGGCTCATGTGTGGCCTCTCAAAACAGGTGCCCAAATTTGGTGGCCGCTATGCTTCCGTCAAAATACCAACCAAAAAAAGCCTCAACAGAAGGGCTACCATGTGTGGCTTGGTTGCCCGGCCTCTCACCCCCAGGTCCCATCCTTTGATGACGCCACCGCCGGCTTTGTAGGTGAAGGGCTGCTGCCCCACATCCTGACGCCGACGCTTCGGCACGTCGCCATGTGGACGGATTGGATGCTCCACCAAAATGCCGGACAAGTAATGTCCACCCCGGATTAAAGGCATGTAGTTGTCCAGTACCAGTTTCCCATGGGCATAATGTACTTGGGTCCGTCCAAGCAAAGCAAACAGTCAGATACGAGCTCATGATTAAGGTCAAGAATTCAGTCTAGGTGGGGGTGAGGGTGTGCAGCATGGGGGGCTTGGCATGTGGTGGGGTCCTTCATTCCCTGATTCCCTCACTCCTTCGCTCATACACTGACACCACCAATCCACATCACCAATTGAGGCTTACCAGACTGGAATGTTTGAGAGCCCCCCCCAAACTGGTTGTTTTCCTTCCTCCCTTGGAAACCCAACCCAAAGGCTGACCAAGCAACAAACGAGCCACCCAAATCCACCCAAATCCACCCAAATCGAAGAAGAAGAACAAGACGAGGTCCGAGTTCGAATCGAAACAAAGAAAAAAAGAAAAAAGCGACGAGGTCTGGGTTCGGTGTCCTTGGTGCTCCAGAACTTGGTCTTGGTGTCCCGAATAAGGCCTGTGGCGTGCACGGTAACCTCATCCCCATTCTCCACCACCGCGTCCTTGGCTCGCTCGAGTTTCCGAGTGCGTCCGAGTGCGTCCACACCCAAATATGGCTGTGGGTCAAAAATATGGTAACCCCAAAATGGAACCCTGGTAAATGGAAACTTCGACTACAACCTGCGGTCCCCTGGTGGTTTAATTTTGACCCATACCCATTTAGAGCACCATTGTGTAAACCACCTGTACTTGTGTCCAAATCAAAACCAACCGTTGGAACAACATCGCTCTGTGGTGCAAACACCGAGTGGTTGGCCATACACGTCCAGGCATCCGCACGACCGGGACGAAGTATTCCAGTTCTCTCTCTCTCTCTCTGATATCGGAAACCACCGCTTTGCTTGAAACGTTTACCCTCTTCCAATAATGGACCTGGAAAGAGGTCGTCTTCCAAAACCCCTGTGTCAGCTTTCATGCTTCTTGGAGAGAAGGCATTTTGCGGGGCCATGAACGATGGAGCGGGCAATGCCAAGCGAAGGCTTCAGCCTACACCCCTTCGGTGGCAATGCCAATGATGACAAACTGCGTTGCGTGTGGATGCCTCGCTATAACGGTATGCCCGATGAAAAAGCAACCACCGAATGTCAACCAGGGTTTTTGTTTGCCGCCGATCGGAGGCAAAAGAGGAGGTTCCACTCAATTCAAACGAATTCTACAATGTAGGGTCGCCCTTCAGCCCATAATCTGCGGACGATTTGTCCAGCGGACACCTGATGTCAAGTGCCAAGCTCAACTCCTCCCTTCCGGCAAACCCAACTCCTCCTGCTTTTGCACACCTTCTTACCCATTGTTTTCTTCTGGATTGGTTTGGCTTTGGGTTTGCAGCCCTAAATCAAAGATAAGAAACCAATCCAAACCATAATGAGGGAAGGCTAAAGATTGCCCTTTAAACCAGCACCACATTCTGTGCTCGCATGCGGAAAAAAACAAGGCCGCAGGCCGTGGCGCAAAAAAAAAATCCCGCCAGGTCACTCCGGCTCCCTCCTGCAGCTCTTCAGCTGAAGAGTTGTCAAATGGCTGTGCCTCTGTTTAGGGGAACCCCCGGAGAGTTGGTGGGTGTTCCTTTTTTACGTCTCCCAAAAACGATCATCTCATCCAAACAAGGGGTGACAACTCACAAAATGACCAGCCACCTATCTAGGCTGGAATTAGGACCCCAGCAAAAAAAAAATGCCTGGTGAGTGGAAAACAAAGGCCCCCCCCAAAAAAAAACAAAGGCAAAAAGGGGAGCTCATTCTGGGGAAGCTATATGGTTTGGATTGGGCCCTGTCTTGAGACGACCACACACCCCTCGCACTGCGCGCCACCCGAACACCGGGATCAGATTCACCCCACGCCTATCGAAGACATGACCTCGTTCTATGTTTCCCCTGCAGGGTTTTCTCATGTTTTCCAACCAGTAATTAAGTACCCATGTTTTCCGGATGAACCAGTAATTTTCCCATGTTTTCCGGATGAACCAGTAATTAATTACAAACTACAAACTGTTGCACCATGGCTGCGAATAGATGATGCGCAACCAGCGGTCCGCTGGCGGACACATGTTGGCCTTTCGGAAAGTCAACGGCATGTGACAAACTCTGGTCCCAGGCGTTTGCCGTTAAGGCCACCCCTGAGTGGTCTGTCCGAAGGTTGAACCAAAATGAAAACTGACGTGAAGTCTTGACACTCGCACGTTGAACCTTTGGACCACCACCTTCTTTTGGGAAAGAGGAGAGTTCCAAATGGCCCAAAGTGAATCCTGGCAATTTTCACAGAGACCACCCCAAAAAAAGAAACAAAAACAAAATAAGCTCAGGTGATATCCCCAACAGCATGCGGTGCTCTTTTAGTGCTCGCACCACCCCGCAGCCCTCGCAGAACCCTGGTGGAACCCTCTGGTGGAACCCTGGTGGAACCCTGGTAAAACCCTGGTGCAAACCTTGGTGGAACCCTGGTGGAACCCTGGTGGAACCCTCGTGGAACCTTGCCTCAGGGCCGCCCCGGACCACCCCGGAGCCTATCTGGGCTGAGACCCCAAAGCTTTCAGCTGTTGGGGAACAAGATGCGTCAGGTTTCGCCTCCCCCGCGAGAAAACGGTAAATCAGCGCCCTCTGGGTCCTGGAGCAGGCAGTAAGTCGTCAGGGCGCCCTCCACGGGAAGGAAGGCGAACTCCTCCACCGAAGAAGCGAAGCCGACGAACAAACAAACCCTCCACTGGCGTTGCAGCTGGGATCGAGCCTTTGCCACTGGCTCTTCAAACATCATTGTGGGAAAAAGCCTTTCTTTCTGTGATGCTCCATTTGCGTTATTGTTCTTCTTCTTTTTTTTCCGGCTGTTTGAAAAATTGAGAACATGTGTCCACTAGTGATAGATTCCCCTTTAAAAACAACAAGGGAAAGAACAATATTCGATTCAGCAATTGGAAGCAACTGACTGTGCGCTTTCTTGAAGGTTTGGGATGGTTCTGAAAGGAAACCACAAAGAAAACCACGCTTGGGGTCTTGGTGTGACCAACCTGAAATAAGAAGCCCTTAAGAAATACATGGTCTTTGATCGCATTGAAATACATGGTCTTTGATCGCAAACCAAGCCATGTTGTGGGGTTGCGATTGACTTGACCCGGTGGCCAAAACTGACTTGTGCTTGGCAATCCCTGCCTCCTCCTCCTCGTCCTTGGGCTTCTTCCTGCCGACTCCCCGCTGCATCATGTACTCCTCAGATCTCATGGCATCCACAGACTTCCCCCCTCCGCTTGTTTCCGCAAAATAACACGGCCTTGCTAAGGCCATATTCGGAGCAGAACAGGGGCAGGCGGATGATTGGTAGAGGAGGGGGTTGGATATCAGCAATTCCGATTTCCTGGGATCTGTTGACTTGCTAACCTCCATTTCCTGGCAGTAGCTGGGACTAGTGTACTCTGTCTCATCCCCTTTACAGAAGGCGACGCTGAAACAGGTGTCACTGCTCCTGCAGGTCTTAATCGTAGTTTCCTCAATGCGTTCTACTGGTTATCTCCAATTCCAATCTCAGGGAGCCCCGAAAATGTTTCGGAGGCATAGCCTTACCAACCCAAAGTTTATGAGCCTTGCTAAGAGGCATGTCCTACCCTGGCCCTCCGACCCAGGCCTCCATGACCATCCCCAAACTTGGCACTCACAGCCTGCTCTGCCAAGGGGGTGGCTGTTCCCCCTTGCCCGAAAAGTTGAAATATGTTGCTGGTCAATAGAAAATACACATGTGGGCTTGTCTCAACATGGGGATATGGAACCCACAAATGGTGCCCCTGGTTTTTCAAGCAAACTCACCCATAGAAAGGGAATAGAACTAAAAGAACATGCTTTCCCTATCTGTAAAAGGTTAAAGATTCGACACGATCAGCGCTGTCGGAATTGCCCAGCTCTGTGATACCCACACTGAAGCAATGGCAGGCAGAACGGGTTGTCTCAAAATGGAGAAACTGCTGAAAATTGCTGCTTTCCTTTGGCCATACCGAACCTCAAAGACAGCACCCAAATGCGTGTCTCTCAATATGGTGGACCTCCTTTTGGTTGGTGTTCCCTTCAGGGAAACCAAAAGACAACGTAGGGATCAATTTTGACACATAAATGGGTACCGGGCCACGTCCGCCTCCTCCTCAGTCTCATTTTCGATCTGCTCCCGCACTTTGTCGATGTTTTCCAGGCCCGCGAGCGAGGAGGCCTAGGCCAGAGTGGATTGCAACAAATTTGGACAAGTGAGTCAGGGTCAATGGTATTTGTGTTTCCCAGCTGACATTGGGAATTCCGGAATTCCGTGCCAAACCCCCCCCCCCCCCCCCCAATTTCCTATGTTTTGATTTTGATGAGCATGCCCTCACCGACCGTTGCTCCTATCAATATCATAGAAACCAGCTGCAGCAATCTCTTTTCTACAGGAAATTGGCCAAGCAAAACTCCGACCAGCTGGTCCATGGTTCCGAAAAAATGGAAAAAAACACGAGCAAGGAACACCTTGAATGGTGGCCTCAAGTCCCAAGGGCTTCATCCAAAATGTTGACCCCCATATTATAATCAACCTCAATTGTTTTTTCATAAGGGGGTGTCCCTGAGTGAAATGCGGGGGATCAGACCACAACCCCCCCCCCTATTAATCAACTGGTTTGCTGACGAAGGGTCCACACGGAAGCAAGTCCGGGCCATGGCACCTCGCCTTCGGCCTGCCTGGTGGATCTTCGGTCAGGGCCTGGTGTCTACAAAACGGGATTGAAAACCCCAAATCACCCATCCACCAGCGTGATCTCGCGGCCTTTGGAACCTGGAAACAAAATGTTCGGATTGCAGAACCGTGAAAAGACCAAACTTCGAAAAACCTCCACACGTCGGCTGTTTTTGGACCCTCCAAAATTGTGGTGTTCCTTTTGATGTCCCTTTAACGGCCACAAACCAGGGGTACCCTGAAAGCACACCAGACACACCCACTTTCTGCCTGGCAGTGATCACGCCACCAGCAAAGGGCTCCTTCTTCCTATCTCTTTTGACCTGCCGGTGTGAAGGGAAAAACGACAGGAAGGACTCTGATTGAAAAGTGTTTCCCCTCAATGTGTGTTCCCCTCAATGTGCTAGGCACTGTTTTGACTGTTGGTTCTAGTAACATGGTTAAGATACTTTGAGATACATATATATATATATATAGGCTTTACTATAAACCGCACAAATTACACCTGCCAGTAGAGCCACCTAAACTTGCTGTGTCCTTTTTGCAGTTACAATACGGCTTTACTATAAGCCAAACAAATGACACCAGGCAGTAGAGCTGCGTCTTGTTTTAGTGGCCACTCTTTGGGTGGTTTCAAGGGAAAGCCAAACCCCCGTTTGTCCAAGCGCAACCTTCCGACTCAGAACTGCGGGCGAGGAGCCCGAGCTTTGCCGGAAGCGTCCTTCGCCGGCTCGAGGTTGAAGACCCAAAAGACAAAGCCGAAGCCCAGAAGCACCACCTCACGTAGCAATACACCGAAGCGGACCCAAGTGAACTACATCAACCTTGTGCAGTGAAATCGATTCCCTTTGAAGCCAACAGGGGGAAATTAAAGAAAATCGTCATTTCAGCACAGGGTTGTGGCAGATCACTCGAGGTTTATCCAACCACCTCTGTGATGCTGTTGGGAATCCCCTCCTACGAGGGGATTCGCACTTTTTGTTGTATCACAGAAGTGCCACAGCCCTGAACTACGTCAAGAAAATGGGCCCGACACTATGGGGTAATAAGCCATGTTAAAGGGTAATTTGAGGGTCCAGGCGGTGCCTGTTGAGGCAAGTGGCTACACCTGGGTCTGTCTTTCAGAGGGTACTCTTTTTGGGTTGGTGTCTAAAGGGAAACCAAGAGGTTAAACCCAAGTTTTACGGGGGGCCCAAACAAAGACACACCCACCTGGACCCATTCTTACGGCTAGTCTGAGGGTCCAGGCAGTTGCTTACTTCTTGTTTCACGCACACACGCACGCACACACACACACACAAGTCAAAAAAGCGTCTGAAAATAGCAATCGGCCCCGCAAAACTGCCTGGTTTTTGGCTGGTGTCCCTTAAAACCAACCGGAAAAGGATGCTTTTACCCTCAAAAATGTCACCCCCATTAGGCTACTTCGGAACTTGGGACAAATTCGGACTCCATTGCTACAGAGGTGGGAAATCCACAATTGGGACTACATCCAACTGATTGCTACCAACTATCACCCAATCAAGGTTTTATTTTGGGTTGGTTTGATGGGACAAACGAAAACCGACATGCTTTGATTTGAGGTTACCCCTTTGTTTGAAGGGAAACAAGGAAAATCGTTGTGCCAGTTTGGAGGACCCCTAAAAAAGACATACCCATTTGGGGGCGCCCCAACGTTGTGAGCCATGTAGCGAAAGCTGACAAGTGGCTGCAAGAGGCAAGCTTCTAATTGCTCTGAATCGGAGCCCAGTCAGCACGGAAAACTACTGTCTAAAACCTTGTGCCTCTGGGCATGGAAAACGTAGGTCACACAACTGGAGATACTACCTCATGCAGCTGCTGTCCTTTTGGGCCGCGCTGGAAGAGTCAATATGGGCTGGCAACTTTGGCATCGACGACAAATCTTCGGCTCGCCACTCCCGCGCCAAGCACGGTCAGCAGAGTACCAGTTGGATCGCCGGCCTGGCACTGACACCCAACGGTTTGGACCATGTGGGTGTGGGTCAAAAGGGAAGCCTATAAAAATTGCGTCAAGGGCATTTGTTTTAAAACGGACGAGGGAAGCCATACAAAAGAAGATTCAAGACAGCCTTAACCGTCTTTGTTGTTGAAGATGCCCGTGCGGGTTGCGATCCAAGGTATAGCAGCACAAACATTCTGTCGGCGTCCAGGGACAAACCCAGACACTGTAGGATTCCGTGCAAACAGTGCGAACAAGTTGAAAAGCTGTACCCCAAACTCAAGGCCAACTTTTGTGGTGTATGGTTGGCTCCATTTGCTTAAGTTCCCAGGAAAAAGTAAGAACATATTTTGTAGTGATAGATTCCCTGTAAAACAAGGGGATAATAATCACACCATCTCTTCTTAAGCACATGGAGTTTTGATTTCCAGTAGTGTTAGATTCCCGGTAAACCCAACAAGGGGGAAACCACCATAAATATTCATTTCAGCACATGGAAGGTTGGTACCCGCAATCAAAGCATCCGCGCCCTTCCACCCCTCCCTCGCCTCCGCCTCCTCCTGCGCCTGTGCACCCAAGGGGAGCGCCACCGCGGCCGCGGCGGAGAAGACCGGCGGTGCGGCCCTGGAGCCGCGGGGCCTCGGCTTGGAAACGGCGCCCGTTGTCACTTTGGACTCGCTTGGCTATTTGAAGATTGCGGGTACCAACCTTCCGTGTGCTGAAATGGGTGCGGCTCAAAATTAAAGAGCCAGGGTTACGCAGGTTCTAGTCTTTGGCTACATTTACCAAGGTGCCATTTTGGTACATCTTGTTGAGCCACAGCCAAATGAATATTTATGGCATTTTCCCCAGGGGAATCTATCACTACTGCACATCAACCTACTCACGCGCTAATGGTTGGCAATTTCTGAGTTGTTGGTGGACAGAAATCCAAGCACCGAATTCGGATGTCCAGAGGGTCCCTAATCATTCATAGCCACTTCGGAAATGGCTTCTGGAACCTCACTTTGGAGTCGGGCGGAAGGTGATCTTGATTTACCAGGCCACAGACACGGGAAATATGGAGAGAAGCCTTTGTCACCTGCAGGCACCCACCTAAGCCTCTTGTCGGGGGTTTCCCCCAACCTGAAGTGGAAACCAAAATTTACTAAACTCACACTCCGATTTGGGACGAGAGTTTTGGAATGGAAGCCAACAAGAAACGTCCAGAGAAACCGCTTTCTTGGAAACACATGGTGTATGTGCATCACACACACACACACTTCCTCCTACAAGTAACAAAGCACCTGTAGAAGACCACCTGGAAAAGGAATTCCGCTTTCTTGCTCCTCTTCTTGTGTGGCAATCTGGGAATCGGGTCTTCACGGCGATTTTTTTCTTCGCCGGAAACCTCTGGGCGCTCCGCCGCGCCAGCGCGGGAAAAACTCATTTGAGGCCATTGGCCTGGAAGACCTGAAGACCACGTGAAGGGCTGTTGAAGACACCTGGGAGATTAGGCCATCCGTTCAAGGCAGAACATGGCTAGGGTGTAGTTCCATTAGAAACAGATACCTTTCCCACAGGCAACAGTCCATGATCTCGCTTTCCCTTTCAAATGCCATCTGGCTCATGGAAGGGGTTTACATGGGTTCCACATATGAATACGGGTTCAGATAGGTTCCACATCCCTCGTATATTCCCCACATCTTTGTGTGGGGTTCTTACTTTTACCGCTCCGCGCCCGCCGTCCGCCGTCCGGCCCCGCCGTCCGCCGCCCGCCCCGCCGCCCCCGCCGCCCACTCACTCACACTCACTGTCTCACACTCACTCACACACACTCACACACACACTCACACACACACTCACACTCTCTCACTCACTCACTCTCACACTCACACACACCACTCACTCACTCACTCACCACACTCACTCACTCACTCACACTCACTCACTCACTCACTCACTCACTCACTCACTCACTCACTCACTCACTCACTCACTCACTCACTCACTCACTCACTCACTCACTCACTCACTCAGCAGGGGCAACATATGGCAGCTGTCTAAAGGGACTGGATGTTGTCGAGCGCGCGGCTCGGGGGCTCAATCTGCGTGACAGGCGCAGCACTTTGGAGATGGCTTGCAGATTTCGTGGCAGGCGCAGTATTTTCTGCATCTGGGTGTGTGTTTGCGTGGCAGGGGCAGCATTTGGTAGCTGTCTAAAGGGACTGGATGTTTCGAGCGCGCGGCTCGGGGGCTCAATCTGCGTGACAGGCGCAGCACTTTGGAGATGGCGCACAATTTCGTGGCAGGCGCAGTATTTTCTGCATCTGGGTGTGTGTTTGCGTGGCAGGGGCAGCATTTGGTAGCTGTCTAAAGGGACTGGATGTTGTCGAGCGCGCGGCTCGGGGGCTCAATCTGCGTGACAGGCGCAGCACTTTGGAGATGGCTTGCAAATTTCGTGGCAGGCGCAGTATTTTCTGCATCTGGGTGTGTGTGTTTTTGTGGCAGGGGCAGCATTTGGTTGGTGTGTAAAGGGACTGGATGTCTTCGAGCGCGCGGCTCGGGGGCTCAATCTGCGTGACAGGCGCAGCACTTTGGAGATGGCTTGCAAATTTCGTGGCAGGCGCAGTATTTTCTGCATCTGGGTGTGTGTTTGCGTGGCAGGGGCAGCATTTGGTAGCTGTCTAAAGGGACTGGATGTTTCGAGCGCGCGGCTCGGGGCTCAATCTGCGTGACAGGCGCAGCACTTTGGAGATGGCGCAAATTTCGTGGCAGGCGCAGTATTTTCTGCATCTGCGTGTGTGTTTGCGTGGCAGGGGCAGCATTTGGGCTGTCTAAAGGGACTGGATGTTGTCGAGCGCGCGGCTCGGGGCGCTCGCACTGGCTCGCTCAGCGCGGCTCGGGGGCTCAATCTGCGTGTGTTTCGTGGCAGGCGCAGTATTTTCTGCATGTGCTGTCTTGGCGTGATGCGTCGTAGCGGGGGGGCAATGTGGTGACAGGCGCTGCTTTGGAGATGCTTCAAGGCGCAGCTCTTTTTTCTGACAGGCGCAGCACTTTGGAGATGGCTTGCAAATTTCGTGGCAGGCGCATTTTTTTCTGCATCTGGGTGTGTGTTTGCGTGGCAGGGGCAGCATTTAGTTGCTGTCTAAAGGGACTGGATGTCTTCGAGCGCGCGGCTCGGGGGCTCAATCTGCGTGACAGGCGCAGCACTTTGGAGATGGCGCACAGATTTCGTGGCAGGCGCAGTATTTTCTGCATCTGGGTGTGTGTTTGCGTGGCAGGGGCAGCATTTGGTAGGTGTCTAAAGGGACTGGATGTTGTCGAGCGCGCGGCTCGGGGGCTCAATCTGCGTGACAGGCGCAGCACTTTCGTCCAGACTCACTTGCACTCATTCACACTCACTCACTCTCACTCAGGCTTATAGACTTCCAGCTCAGGCTTATTAGAGCTCGAGCTCAGGCTTATTAGACTTCCAGCTGTGTGAAGAAGAGGAAGCCGTGCTGACTCTGCCTCGCGAGCAAAAAGAAGAGAGCACTCTACTAGTGACCGAGCGCTACCCCGTGGCCACTCACTCACTCACTCACTCAGTCATTATCGCATGGCCACCAGAGAACCATTCACTGAAAAAATGCGCATGTGGGGTTATCCGGTCCTTTAATTCATGGTTGCCTCTTTTTTGGGGGGGTCGCCAAAACAAACGGTCGCCGTCAAAGCCAGCATGGGGAACCCCCGACCGGAGCTTGCGACCGGTCCAAGAGGCGCCACAAAGCCGATACCCTGGAAGGCCAGTGCCTGTCATGGGCACTGGAGTCTGGTACAGAAAAATAGGATCCTCAGATGATGTGTACGTGTTCAGAGACCGATTTCACATCGTAAGTACGGGTCCATTGATATGATAGCCAGATCCCGCACACATCATGGAACTACCTCTCCTCAAGATCAGAATCAAACAGAGTATTTTGGGTCAGTAACAGCTGATCTGATGTAGTTGTGTTTGGCTTCCTGATCTTGCTTGGGACATCACAAAGTCCCACCCCTAGGGTCTCCAAAACAATGAAACACAATTGAGATACGTACATCTATATATATATATATATATATATATATATATTATGTGCATTTTTTAATGATAGTACTAATAAACAATATACTTGTATATATACATATCATAGGGTTGACTAAATGTGATATGTATTTAACTCTCCCGGTCTTTGACTCGAGCGCTCTCAGATCGGCAAATCTTTGCCCTCGCGTGAAACTTTAGCCCTTCTCCCGCAAACCACCTTCTCCTCCTGGAACCCGCTTTATTCTGAGGTTCGGGGTGTTGGGGGAAGGGGGCAAGGGTTTACTGCATCCGACGCTAACATGATGCGCTTTCTGGTATTCCAGATTCCAGTTCATGCTTGTAGAAAATATGGTTCTAGGCCCATGCCCTGCCATGCTAGCAAAGTGACAAAGTAGGGGGCCAATTTGGGTACAGGAAAAGTGAGTTTCCACGACCATGTTCCGATTTCCAGGCTGGGAACCATCCAACTTGCAAACTGCCTGGAGTCGCCGCCCCTGCAAAAACGGGCACGTGCAAGCAACCGCGCGTTTGATGTTGCCCATGTTGCTCGATTCAATGTCCCGGGCTTGTGTACACATAATTGTTGGGCTTGTACTCAAGATCTTGGGTTGACGTGCCCATAGTCTTGTGCGCCAATGTGCGCATATGTTCGGGGTTCATGTGCCTACAAGTTGCTTTGGTTTGACACAACCATAATGTTGGGGCGGATGTATCTACAATTTGAGTGGGTGAATGTACCTGTATTTCTTCAGAAAGGGCAGCTGTGAGGGCCCCTGATTTTGCTGTTTTTGAGATGGAGCTATTTTGTGGTGTGAGTCTGTGTTGATTGGTTTGCATTCATTTCCGTGAAGGGTTCTTACGAAGATCTTCGATCAAACGCTTGCTTTGCAGATTCCTGCATCTTCTGTAATTCTGTCTGGAGCCTGTCAACACGCGGAGGGGGGGGGGGTCGAGGAAAAAAACCGATTATTTTTTTTGGGCCGACCCCCCCCCCCCATCACTAGACCCCCCCCCTTGCCCCCCCCAACTGTCTGCAAATCTAGCTCGTCTTGCTTCTGTGCAGGGTTTCAAGAGTCTCAAAAGGAAACCCCGTAGTGACATGACTGGCTTCCTCCACGGTCCTCTAGCAAAACTGAACAACCCTGAGGCTTTGACGGCGCGCTTCTATGGGAGGCTGTGCAAAGATAAATAGAATTATAAATCTACAAATTACGAAAAGAAGATGCAAACAGTAGATTTATAAGTGGATCCGAAAGTAAAAAGTAAAACATAGATTGGAGAAAGATGTACACCAAAAGCTCTTAAAGAAGGGTTAGGATTCATTATGGCTAAATATTTTATCCTAGGTGATGTAGCTTCCAAGATCTTAGATTGCAAGGATGAGATTATAAACGAAAAGATGAAAGAGAAGAAGTAATTCTAGATTCATAAAGTTGTCTATCTTATCTTACATTATCTTTTTCATTAACTTCTAAAATGTTAGGTTTGTAATAATTACAATAAAGATTTTTTTAGAAGATAAGGATAATGAAAAGTGGGTGAAAAGGATCCTGTTGGTCGTACCTCAGCTATCATTATCCCGTCTCACCTTTATAATTCCTGTCTCTTTCTGATGTTAAGGATTCTACAGTTTAAAATGATAGACGAGAGAATGAATGAAGAAAAAGGTGAAAAGAAATCCATTAAAATCTAGACTTATATTAAATCGATTTTATTATTTTACTATATTATTTCATTCACTAGTTAAAACTTGTAATCAAAAAGGCTTAGGAATCTATTATTTATTATCTGGATTCATCTTTGGAATCTCCGGTACATTTATATCAGCCCTTATAAGAATAGAATTATATTCATCAGAAAATAGGACTATATCTCCAGAAAACCAGAACTTCTATAATATAAGCAGTACATTGCATGGCTTTCTTATGATCTTCTTTTTAGTAATGCCTGGCTTGTTTGGAGGATTTAGAAATTATTTTGTACCTATCTTTCAAGGATCTCCAGAAGTGGTATATCCTAGAGTCAATATATTTTCTATCATAATTCTTTTACTTTCATATCTTTTTCTAATCCCTTCTTTAATCTCAGAATTTGGAGGTGGTACAGGATGGAAATTATATCCACCATTATCCACTTCTTCTATGACTTTATCACCTTCAAGTACAGGAAATCTTAGATTAGGATTATGAATCTCTGGTATATCTTCATGTCTTACATCTCTTAACTTGTGGACAAGAATTCTAAATCTGAGATCTTATTATCTTATATCAAAGGCTATCCCATTATTTCCTTTCTCTTTCTTGATTACAGCTTTCATGCTGTTATTAACATTACCTATCTTATCTGGCACACTTCTTTTAATGTTGGGTGATCTTCATTCTAATACACTCTTCTTTGATCCAATATTTGGAGGAGATCCTATATTCTATCAACATTTATTTGGTTTTTTGGACATACAGAAGTTTACATCTTAATAATTCCTGCATTTGGGATCAGTTCCATAATAATTTCTAGGTTTTTACAGTTAGTAATCTTTGCTAAGCAATCAATGATCTTTGCCATGTCATCTATTTCTCTTCTTGGAAGTCTTGTTTGGGGACATCATATGTATACTGTAGGTTTAGAAAGTGATACAAGAGCTTGTTTTACCCTCGTCTGCGTCAATGGCGTCTAAGCTGGTTAACCGACCTTCCCGCAAGTGAAACATAGACGTCCGATTGTACATGTTCCGCAAGAAGGTCACGTGAGAGAAAAGAGGGTAGATCCTGGCTTTGTTGGTTCCATTGCAATGGGAGTTCATTCGTATCGAATGGCAGTAGCAAATGGATTCTCTCACCTTGAACGTGGCCAGGAAGCATGCTTGCTTCTTGATGTACATGATATCGCACAGGATTGTTAATCTTGTCGTGATTCTCATCTCTGGGCTACCGCATGCCGGCCACGTTCAAACAATCTCAGCCATGCATGGCTAACAACTGTGATTCCTGCTTCAATTATTGTTGCTCAATGTACCCTTGACATTTAACTCATGTTAGTCTTGTTGCATTGAAAAGTTCTCGGAGTCAGCCTGCGTAATTCAATACTTCAATGTTCAGAGCGATGTCAAAGGCGCGCGATGCTGCTTTCTCAAGAGTTAAAAAACACCACAAAAACACTGAAAACAACTGGGGCCTCCAGGGCCGCCCGCACTCTATTTTTTTGGGGGGAGGTCATGCAACCATACATACTTTGGGGGTGAACATATTCACAATACTGCGGGGATAACACAACCATAATCTTCTACTTTCAAAGCGAATGATAAGCATCATCTGGGGTGAATGTATCCATAACTTGGGGCACTGTACCCAACTACCCATTTCTGGCTCATGCCCTAATTTCTGCAGGGCTTTGGGAGGACTCCTCTCCCAAAACCCCTCCGGCCAGCAAGCCGCAGGCTAGGCCCTGCCGCGCTCGCGCCATGGCAAGCGAGCGCATGGCAGGCGCGAGGCCGGGCTCTAGCGCGTCGGTCTGAAGGCTCCAGCGCCGGTGCGGCAAGTCAGGGGTGGCATTGCCGCCGTGTCTTGGCGCATGGTGATCGCGGGTGCCATTTGGTTGGCCGCGGAGATCAACTCCTGCTGCGGTGGATTTAAATGATTTGGGATAAGGCCGTCACAGGCATGCCGGTGTCTGAGCCAAGCTTCTCCACGAAACAATGAATGGCCTTGCATGTAATCAGGATTGAGTTAATGTTTTAACCACTATGTTTTAAAAGGAGCAGGGGTTGGTTTTAGTATATTTTGCCCCTCGCAATCTCCGGCCATCTGTTTTCAATTTGGCTCCAGGCTGCCATACCATCTAGCTACCTCATAGTCGGAGTGAGTCGGCTTCCTTTGGTTTGCCTTGAAATCCACAGGGCACAGACCTCACTCAACCCCCCCCCCCCGGCACGGTCCATTCTCAACCCCGGGACTGTCCCGCACTCACATGGCGTGTTGTGCCATGGCAAACAATCGGACCAAAATCGGGCGGCCACCTCTGGCTGCGCTTGTTACCAAAGCTTCTACCCTAGGTTCTGCACTGACATGGGTGTGTCTTTTAGGAGACGCCCCAACATGGCGCAACGGTGGTCCTTCTGCGGTTTCCCTTGAAGCCAACCCCAAAAGGGCCCCCTCCAAAAAGATGAGCAGATGAGCCACCCCCAACGCGCGGCCGCCGATTCTGGGCTTTGGGCTTCGGTTTTAAGTTTGGTTGGCCTCCAATGGCCGAATTGTCATGGGACACACACGCCTATAAACCGTGGTAGGTCCAATCCTTGTTTTTTCTTGGAACCTTGCTTTTTCTTGTAACGCAGCTATTGAAGAAATCGACTCTAAGTGACCAGAAAGACCCGGCCTCTTGCGGAAAAAAAAGGAAACAAAAACGAAAAACGATTTGGCACCTTTGTTTGAGATTATAAAATCAAATTCCCTTCAAAAACAGGGCACGCTTGCTTGGCTTCAGATCAAAATCCCTTCCAATAAAACATGAAGAAATCCAACTGTGCTACGAGTGTTTTCCACCTCACGGCAGGCGCCTCTTCCACCTCGGTGCTCGGGCAGCCTGGAGTTCGAAGGCGCGTGCTTTTGCTGCGAACGTGAGTGGCTTCCACTTGAGTCATAACTGGGCTGTCCTCAGATCCCCTGCCAAAAGTTTAACTTTCAGTACATGGAAACCCCCACTAAACTCTAAAACTTCCACTTACTTGAGTCAGAATCAAAACAAACCGGTGGTAAAATGGTCTAATGTCGACCCCCATGTCTTTGGGAGGGGAACACCTCCTAGTAATCAACTGGGGTTGATTCATATGGCGTCAACATTACCTGGAACTGTGTAAATAATCCAAAAGGCGGTGAGGGCACTCATCTATGATTCGCTCTATCCCTCACCTTCATCTGCCCGGAATTTGATTGTGCCTCACTTGGTTTCCCGTTCAAACCACCCTAAGGGTGCCACCCAAAAAAGATGGCTTGTAGTCCAAGTGGGCTGATTCAATGCACCCCTTTTGCCCCGAGCAGCTTTGTTGGGCTCGCGCAAGTTGCCCCAGGGAGTTTTCGCAAGTGACAAGCTGTCCAACAAGCATGGGATGCGCTGAAACGATTGCGCAGCATGTTGAGGTGTTCCACTCTTTGTGTACAAGTGCCCAGCTGTTTCAATCCCAGAATTGGAGGACCAAGGGAACCAACCCCCCAAAAAGGCGAACAACCGCTGTTTGCCACTAAGATCTGGGTGTTCCCAACCACCATACCCTTGGCTTTTCCCGACCCTAAAACGGCTCCTTTGCGCCAAAGCGACTCGGCCGGCCCATCCGCCCATTCGTCGGCGGCTCGCCTTTCAGCAGCGCCAGCAGCGAGTGCAACAGCGCCTCGCTGAGCTTTGTCTGGCGTTGACCTCAGCCGAAGCGATCGAAGCGATCGAAGCGATCGCTTCTTGGGGATTTTGGTCAGGGTGAACCAGATACTCTTGCGTAAGTCCGCTGGACAAAATGTCCGGTGATACGGTCCTATTGAAACCTAACAGGGGAAATAAAAACAGGACTCTTGGGGCAAATGGAAGTGAAACTGAAGGACGCCGTCTGATGTTCTACGTGCCTTGGTCATCTTGGAACGTGCCATTTGATACCATTGACACTGGGCGGTTGAGGCTTCTGGTTTGATACATGCTTCAACATCCCTTTTGTTGAACCAGACCTTTCCCAGTTTGACCGGGACTGTGGCCATTTTGAGTTTCGGATTCTCCAGTTGCAAGTCGATCGGAACATGAAGCTCAGAAGCCACGGGAGAAATGGCCAGTCCTTTTCAACTCGAATAGATTCAAACTGAACCACCCTCCATTTGCTTGAGTCCCCCGGAACAAAATGAGAACATCGCGGTGATAGATTCCCAAAAAGAACCAACTGGGGAAATAAACCATACTAATTTCAGCAAATGGAAGGAGCCCTCAAAACCAACACCTACGATCCCAGCGATGGTCGAGTCCAGGGGGTTTGTTGAAGGGGTTCCATGCTGCAGAGTATAACACAAATGGCAGAGGCAAAGGGCAGAGGCAAACCAAGCTCTCTGGCAAGGAGAAGCTGTATGCTTGCAACCACTCACAAATTAACCAGCAACCCAACCAGACAACAAACCAAGCAACCAGCTAACCAAGCAAGAAAGCAAGCAAGAAAAAAAAACAAAAAACAAGCAAGAAAGCAAGCAAGCAGGCAAGAAAGCAAGCAAGCAAGCAAGCAAGCAAGCAAGAAAGCAAGAAAGCAAGCAAGAAAAAAAAGCAAGAAAAAAAAAGCAAGAAAGCAAGCAAGCAGGCAAGAAAGCAAGCAAGCAAGCAAGCAAGAAAGCAAGCAAGAAAGCAAGCAGGCACGAAAGCAAGCAAACAATCAAACAAAACAAAGCAACAAAATCAGACAATAAAAAACTAACCAACCCACCCACCCACCCACCCACCCACCCACCCACCCACCCACCCACCCAACCACCCACCCACCCACCCACCCACCCACCAAACCAACCAAACAATTGAAACAAGCAACAAGCAAGCAAACAAACACAACCAAACCACGCAACAAAACACAATGAACCAAACCAGCAAGAATGCAAACAGCACGTGTGCGCCATTTGCATGATTCCCTTGAAAGAAACCCCTATCATGTTCGTCTCAAATGCCCTTTTGGGGTGTCAATGACCATCCCTAAAAGGCGGAGCAAAGAAGTCCTTTGACCGCGGCACAGATGGCTTCGTGCACAGGATAATGTAGTCAGTACTCCTCTTGCTCCCCGACTAAGTCGGCCACTGCAACTTATGACAGACACATGAGCTAACTCGTCAAATCATGATGGCAGACGGGCCTTACCGCCGATCGGTGTTCAGAATTCGCCGATGCGAATCGAAAGGTCTCTCAAGCAGGTCTCGTCTGTCAGATTTGAAGTAAAAGACTAAATGTCATGTGAAAACGCGTAGACACGACGGTATCAGTAGTGGAGATTCATCAACGAACAATACTTCTGCAATCTCTTCTGCAATCTCTTCGGTCGGTAGAAAGGATGTGTCCTGTCCTCTCACTTCACAAGAACTTATTACCCCTGTTTTATATATCTTTAAACCATTCAGAGCAACCGCGGCCATACCGCCTCGGATCCCTTGCAATAGTCAGGTCCCCTGTAAGTGGATACTAAAATTCTAGAGTTGGCACTGGGACTACCTAAAGTCCTGAGTAGCCCGGAAAAACGATCAGTCACGCTGCTGGCACTGAGAATTCTCAAGAAATGAAAGTTAAACAACCACTCCTTGCAAAACCATGGACCCCATGAGAGTTGAGGCGGTTACAATGTTCACGAAACCAAACTTGCTCCAGTTTCATCCAGATTAAAATGTGTTGCAGCCCCCACAAAGACTCATCCGGTGCACCTAAAAAAAGGCGCGTGATCCTTTTGCAGCACTTTGAGTCATTTGGTTACCACCCGCTTTGCGAGAAATGCCACTGCCCCCCCTTTGAGCCTTTGAGCTGTCTTGGCTTACCGGCCGTTCAGCTCCCTGGCCGAGTGCCAAAACGAGTTGGGCACCCAAGAGGGGGCAAACTTGGTTGCTATTGAACCCCCCGCACAAAGTTTAACTTTTGGGGGGTGTAGTGGAATACACCTTTGTTTCCCAAAAAGTTAAAGTCTAAAGATCCAACCCAATAGCAGTCAAGCAAAGAGAAAACGCGGCGATGACGCTGAGAGCCCTGAGATTCAAATTATGAAGTGTCGATTGCCTGTAGTCCAGCACCCACCAACTGTTTTTTGGGTTCAACCATGTCCAAACCCCTTGTACTTACGGCAACCAACAGGCAGTGGTTGAGTTTCGGCTGCTGGTTGATGTCAAGATGAGTTGGGCCCCTTTGGGCACCGAATCAGCAAGAAACGAGTCCAGATTCCCGAAATGAAGGTGGATTGCATGTATTGGCTGTGTGGGCAACCGCTTGAAATGCCCTTCCTGAGGTGCATGACACTTCTGCCCGGGTCTCTCTGGATTTGCGAAGCGGATGCGTCAGATGCGTCAGAAGCAAATCAACTGGAACGTGCCCAGAATTGCCGAACGGCTGCCGAAGATCAGAGCCGATTGCATATGAATGTGACAACTAGCGACCAGATTGCAGCATTGTTTGCCAAAAGCGGAAGAATCCCGGAAGAACGAGAGCCGGAGCCACTAGCTGTCAGCGGCCAAACAACATTAAACTGCATCAGCCACCTTGCCGACAAAACCAAGCCCAACGAATAAGGCGCACAAATCTTCCTGAAAGCACACATGCTTCTTATGCTGTCCATGGCTTGATGGGCTTCAGCCAAACTTGAAGTCCCCAGTTTTCTGTCCCGCCTCAAGGGAAACCCCCAAGAATGTGGCGCGGGACGCCTAGACACGTAGGGGATGAATCTAGTTGCAACGCCAACTATGCACCGAGAGAACGAAGCA